CAACCCCTAATCGTTGATACGAAAACAGCCCCTAGAACGGGTGTTTTCCGGCTAACTCGATTCCTAGTTTTCCAATATTTGCTTTAGGTTAGTATCTAACCTTTACATCAATAAAATAACTTTTCAAGGACATATTATACACTTGGATTAGTGTACAATAGTCCCACCAATCGTTCATATCATTTGGAAAATGAATGGAAAGGATTTGGGGTTAACAACTCACTTTAGAAGAGTAAATCCGTTTCTGCGAGGTTGTGTTTTGCTCGGACGATTTGGAAGCCTTCCTCTACTCCGATTGATGCAAACCAGACCTTCACGGATTCCTCGTCTTGAGATATTTCTTTTGGTATCTCACACGCCTTAATTGGATTGGTAAAACTCGAGATATCAACCAAACAGTCTCAACACTCTCACAGCTCGAATTCACAGACCACTGCTCGCTTCAGATCGATTTTTGGATGATTACTCACTCCTCTCGAACAGAGACCACTCAATTATGAAAATAGACTTCAAAGGCTATCCAAGGACACCTTATACACCTCATTTGGACGAGTACAACTCTCAAAATGAAGGGAGACAAAACAGCACACCTGTTTGTGCGAAAACAGTGGTGGTGGCCCCAAAATTTGATTCCAATTGTGTCATGGGCAGTGCTTCTCCATGTGGTGCGGCCAAGGTGAGTCTTCTCACATATTTTCCTTGTCTTGCAGGTACTAATATCATGTGGAGTGGTTCCCAATTGATCCCATTAAATTTGGGGTCCAAAATATCTACCAATACTTCCAAAAATGGGAAGATGGGTCCTATTGTTTTATCTTTGTCAAAAATGTCTTTTTGTACTCATCCTAATTTACTTAGAACAAGTCAACTTCCTAAATCACATTATTGATCTCCAATATGTGTAGGCTTGTCCCAATAATTTACTTGATGAATATTATAGAAGGAAAATCCTACTCCCATTATTTAGCTCAATAAGGCCCAAGGTGGGGTTATAGGCATTTGTATTCTTCCTTAATCATTCAATCACTTATTTGACATTTGTCATACGTATTATTGGGCTCTTTTATTTATTAATAAGTCCCGAATAAGTATTTGCGAAACCCGACACTAGTGTACGAGTTTGAACAGTACGATATTCAACCATGCACTACGTAGAACATTAATCGTTTTACAAATTGTTCGGGAATAAAAATCCAATACATAAACTTTGAATATCTAAATCAAATCTCCAAGGACATTCGGGTGCGGTGTCACATGTAGGCACCGTTAGATAAGGGGTTAATTACCCTCTTTTAATGGAATATCAAGATTTATGCACAAAAATCAAGTTTATGGGCTTGGATATTCTTTAGTGGCAACTTTGTGGGGCTTTTTGCCCCTTTTCCCTTCTTCGGAGGTCGTCAGTATGGCTGAATGAGTGTTTGATCTTGATGATCATGTCGTCGACTTATGCTTCCATTGTACGACCGAGGAAAGCTCTAAACAGTTTCACCACAATTCTCGTGTAGGTCACGTCAGAGTTTTTGAGTCCAAAGGCCATGACGAGGTAACGGAAGATTCCCTCTGGGGTCATGAATGTTGTTTCCCCGACGTTGGTGTCGTGCATGAAGATCTGTTTGTACCCTCGGAATGCATCAAGGAAGGACATGAGCTCGCATACGACCTTTTCGTCCACCAACTTATCAATGTTTGGGAGAGGGAAACGCTCCATTGGGCACGCATTATTGAGGTGGGTGTAGTCGACGCACATTCTGAAGGTGGACGGTTTTTTAGCGAGGATGACGTTTGATAGCCACGTTGGGTACTTAAATTCATTGATGTGATGGATGTTGGGGAGCATTGTCACTTCGACCTTGATGAACTCTCGCCTATCCGCCATGAGGTGACGCCATGGTATTGGCTACAAACAATAATACCATTATAGTAATTGTTGGAAAATAAATGGAAACACGCAATGACTGATTGAAGATGGAAACAAATTTATTCCAGCAAGAAATTCTACACACTCATACTATTATTATCAGTAGCTTTTAAATTTATATATAAGAGAAAACGAGTTAAGCTATCTTGCTAGAAAGTAGGCCTCTAAAAACTAACAAAATTACACCAAATAAATTCTCAAGTAACAAGTAACACCGTACAATCAGAGTAACTTGAACTAAAAGGAAGTCTGCAAATCATAATGAATTCTTACAGCAAATTAAAGGAGTCATGATTTTTATTAGAAACCAAACAATAGTCGAGTGAGACATCTCATGGACGTTTCAATTCCCTGCACGCCGCATACAAGAAAACAAATTTATAATATAGTCCTATATGTTTGTGTTTAAGTGCTTGTTAAAGAGAACTTTTGAATGTAAGGCAGGTGACGAGTAGTATTTGAGACCACCTCTCCACCAACAAGGTTTTCAAGCATTAATTCCAGACTGGTCTTATTTCTTAATTCGAGGAAGTAATGGAGACGCATAATGTGCAATTCTTAGAAATGTAGTCCAAAATGCGAAATGAGAACAACAACACGACACATTATTTTCGATAGCAACAACTAGACATATCCTTTTTGCTATCCATAGTGTGCAAGTAGTATGTGTATGTTTCGTTACCCTCAGAGTACCCACTTCCATTGTGTATTTTACGAATAGGTCAATTCTATTTATTTACCAAATACAAACCAATTAGGTAAGATAATATATTTATCGTAAGAAAAAACAACGGCTACAGCTTTCGGGAAATAGATATCAAATATGCTCTGGAATGGTAACCAACATGCTGGCTTCTTGGGACGACACGATAAAGAGGAGACACAATGAAGAAGATAACTATATACTCGTCAGGATATGAATACTACGGAGTATGTAGTACTCTGTATAAAACAACAAATTAAATGCTGATATTTGTTAGGGGGTTGGGGTTTATTACAAATACTTCGATTTAAGAAAAAAGTAATGTGATTTAATGAGTACATGTGTAGAGAAGGAGAAGGGTGGCACACTTTGGTGTATGTTATTTACAACATGCAGGGGATTAATTTCATCGTGTGGGTGATAGCGAGTCCTTACAAATCACACATATGGGTTGAACCATGATATTTGGGCTAATTAAGTAAGGTCAACATGAGTGTCTCTAGAGAGAGAAGAACCTTAGCGGCTGTCTCCCCTCTGTATAGGGGTTGAGATTTTCTGCCTCCCATATCAATATGAGGTTGGAGCGGCAGATTATACTGATTTTAAGTGTCCTAACGCTTGAGATTGCAACTAAGTCGGAGGAGATAGCGTTGGCGATTGAACGATGTGCGGCTGAGAGGTTGTATCGAGGCTGGATCGTGAAGTCTTAGTCGGCCATTCCGATGGTGGTGGAGTTGGTCCATATTGCAAGAGCTCGTCCTCCTCCGGAACCATCTCCAAACCAGGAAGGGCTTTGTGGAATGAGTTTATTTCAGTATTATTTTCTCTTTAATTTCCATCATTTTCAATGGACCCAAAGACTCGCCATTTTTGGCTTGAGAATATGATGGAATAAAGCAAAATGGCTCACAAAACTGTGTGGACTTCTTGGTTATGAAGTAATAGACAGTCTATGCAATTTTTGACGCGATCTTCACTATTGGTCATTCGAAAACAGTATCTCTATGCTTTAGTAGAAGGGTAAGACTGCGTACATCCGACCCCCCCTACCCACTATGATGATGATTATTTTCTCTTTAGTTGCAATAGTTTTTATTTTTGGTTTGAATGTTTGGATTTTTGGAATTCTTTTGATAGGCAGGGTTTCGGTTCTGGTCGTTTAAGGCCTAAATTTGCCCATTTCAGGTTTAGCGAGTCATGCTGCTTTATATGAGGTGACTGACTCTAAGTCTACTCCTAGGGTTCACGATTGGATCTGTAATTTCTGTCTAAAGGTTGTCTTGTATGTGTTCTTGATTTTAATATAATGATCGCTCTTTTATAATATAAAAAAAAGGTAATCAATTATGCTTGTGGACCATGGCAGTTAATTATTCGTGTATATTAAGGATGTTTTTATTTGGACTGTTTTTCAATCCCAGATCAGACCAGACCAGATCAGTTCAGACCAAACTTGAATAATTATAATATACATAGAAATCAGACCTTTATCAGACCAGTTCAGACCAGATCATTTTGATCTAAGTAAATACTCCATCTGTCCCGCTATGATCGTCTCATTTTACCTTTTCGGTGCGTCCCATTAAGGATGTTTTCTTTTGGACTGAAATTTGCTGGTCTGGTCTGGTCTGGTCTGTTTAAGTCTGGTCTGGTCTGGTCTGGTAAACGGCTGGTCTCTGTGTGTTTTATAACTACGGAAGTCTGGTCTGGTCTGGTCTGTTTAAGTCTGGTCTGGTCTGTTTAAGTCTGGTCTGGTCTGGTCTGGTCTGTTTAAGTCTGGTCTGGTCTGGTCTGGGACTGAAAACAGTCCAAAAGAAAACATCCTAAGATTGTCTCATACCCTATTTGATAAAATTTGTGTGGTTCTAAAGCATTCTTACTTTATTCTTACGTTTATCAATTCAATATCAACCACATAAACCAACTTTTATTAATACCGTGTCACTTTCTCTTGTCCCAAACTTAGGGGGCGGGGTAGTACATCCTAAGAGCATCTCCAATGCTAAAACGTTAACGGTGCATACGTGGCATGAGAAATAACCAATTAAAAAACAATAAATCCAATATCTCTCTCCTTCTTTCCACGGTCTTATGTGTTTATGGTAAGTTTTTGTCTGCAATGTCAATCACAATGTCTACATCTTGACATTCTGCTTGACATTGTGAAGAAAAACTTACCAAAATGATGTAAGATCCTTCCAATAAGGAGAGAGATATTATATTTATTGTTTTTTAATTGGTTATTTTCCATGCCAGGTCTCTCCGTCTCTGCACATGCATGTACTTAATTTAATTCAGATGGGATACGATTGTCGATTGATTTATATTGGATAATAATCTTAATTTAGTTTCCTAATTGAATGATTCTCCAATATCCGAGTGTTGATTATATAACCCCAAATTAATTTGTTTTCCTTAAATAAAAGGAGTAATGGCTTTATATTTTCCGATCCCAATCACCAAACAACGGAAATGCGAAGAAGCGGCGGATTTTCTACTTCCCTAACAGTATCTATCTTCTTCCTATCCATCCAATGAATATAATATTGACTCATCACTCACTCCGCTCAATATATATATGTAAAGTAATGATCAATGATAGATAGATGATTATATATATATTCTGTATCTGTTTTGATCTCTCTCTATATATATCTATACATATAAATAGAACCTGGATCATCCAGTTAGGCTAAGCCAGACAGTCTGAGCACCGACCAGGCCGCAAGCAGCTAATTAAGGTATGCCTGCCATTCCACTTCTTTCCTTATTACTACTTGTCTTTACTATTAGTAGTACGAGGTACAGCTAATCTAAGTATTCTATCTGATAATCGATAATTGTTGTTCTATAACGAAATGAAATAATTAATATAATAATAATAATCCTAATTAGCTTCTTTGATATGATTTCTGTGATGATCGAAATACTTCCTCAGGTTCACATTAATCTTTACACCTTCCTTTTTGGGCCGTTCCATATTAAACTTCACACTTCCTTATTTACCTTATTTGGCAAATAAATCTACACAAAACAGTGTCAAATAGTGTACTCTACAGTAAAGTCAAATTTATTTCCTTGAAAACTGTGAAGTCAAAGTGTAAAGATCTTTGTGAATCGGAGGGAGGAAAAAATTAGTCTTTCATTCTTCAATTTATCGATGCAATCAGCAGCACTTGCATGACATTTTCTTTAGTTAGACGAAGATGCACATTTGATAACATTGAAATCGATCTAAGTTAGATTAGAATGAAGGGTACTTATACCAGTCTTAAATTCTTAATAAATACTAGTGGCATAGGCAAAAAATGAAAAATGAAAAATTGAAAAAAAAAAAATTGTATGGATTTCAGCTCACCATAACTCAAACATAGATCCTCCCTAGATTCCGAGCAATTGATCACATTCTAACTAAAGTGACCGAATTGCCTCAATCTGCTAAACTGTGAAATAATTATACTTTAAAATATATTTTACTAGTAAAATTAAGAAAAAAGTGTATAAAGAATTAACTAAAGTTGTTCTCTTAATTTCACCCAATTAACTAAAGTTGTTCTCTTAATTAACAAGTGTATAAACTCACTTATTAATTATTATTATTATTGCATTATTCTGCACGCGGAATCAAAAGTTACGTTTTTTATATAAAAAAGTGATAAATTTGATAAATTGAAAAAAAAAATTAGACTTTAAAGTATAGGGGCTCTCCTCTGAATTTCAGTGAACTTTGGGACGAATGTTCTCTGTTTTTTTTTAAATGAATGTTCTCTGTTTTTTCCTTTGCTTTTATAACTCTCGGTAAATACGATAGTACTTCAGACTTAAGAGCATGTGTGGCTAAGCCATTTTCATTTTAATTATAATCATAGATGCAAATTATTAAGTGTACGTAGTAGTATTAACAAGTCATATAATTATCTTTTATACTTTTATTCAATAATAATAATAATAATAATAATAATAATAATAATATTCTTGAAAAAGTTCGTCAGTGTTTTATTATGAAATATCAACGATCGTCATAAAACATTTACTATGTATTTATTTTCATATATCATTCATTGCATTGTTAAGCACTCGGAAAAATTCCTACAAAGTTGATGATGCATGCAACCAAGTGTTGTTATACACTCCGTTGCACCGAATAATTAGTTCATCGGAGGAGGGACTTCGATCAATTGGTTTCAGCTTTGATTCTTATATTGTTTGACAATTGTATGTATTGATGAAACTTTTTCAAAGAATGGCTTAGATTAAGGCCAGACTCAATTGAGTAAATTTTTTAGAAAGAGGTTTGATCAAATAGACAGCTAGCTGCAGATATTATTAGACATATGATCATAAAGTACGCGGATGACAACAGATAGAGAAAGCGCACATATCGGAGAATGGAGGAGCGCGCATCAATATGGGGTAGGAGTGAAGACAAGATTTTTGAGACTGCTCTGGTTAAGTATGCACAAGGCACGCCCAACAGATGGGCGAAAATTGCAGATTTGCTCCCGCTGAAAACCGCTCTGCAAGTGGAAACACACTATCACATTCTGATGTCCGATGTAGCGGATATTGAGGCTGGTCTTATACCGCTTCCCGACTACACAGAATCAGCTGACAAGAAGAAGAATAAGATCAAAGAGGCGAGGAAACCAGCTACCCAATGGACTGCAGGAGAACACAAGAGATTCTTGGAAGGGCTAAATAAGTATGGGAAAGGAGACTGGAAGAGCATAGCTAGGCAGTGTGTGAAGACAAGGTCAGCTACTCAGGTTGCTAGTCATGCTCAGAAGTATTTTATTCATCTGGACAAGGATGTCAAGAACAAGAAGAGGTCAAGCATCTATGATGTTTCATTGGAATAACACATACATTATCTGCTTCATCATTTCTTCTACTATACCAAACTTCCATTGACTCTGACTGATCAGTCTGTTAGTTTTAGCATTTCTAGCTAGCTGTGACAGTTTTATTAAACTTTAGTTCTCTTTTCAATTATACATTCGGGATGAAATGAGCATTTCTCTAACACAAATTGAACACCATTTATATCAAATGAGTATCATATTGAATGACTTATAAATGAGCAGGGGAAGAAATATGATTTTGATAGAATATGCATTAAATTGTTATGAACTTAGCAAATGTTAAATGAAATTATAATCTCATAACATTATATTTGTGTGCATGGGCGTAACCGGAGGAGGGGGCACTCTGGGCCCAACTCATTCCCGATTTTGTAAAACCTGTATTTTGTTGGTAAAGAAAATTGTTGAAATTTTTATTTTTCTAAAAAGTATGAAATAATACATCAATTATAGGTGCACTTTGTTTTTCTTTATGTAAAAAAACAAGAGGGAGATTAGAATTCAAAATGAGTGAGATTGGACTTCCTAATTTATGAAAAATGTACAAAAGAGTATATGAGAGGCACAACTTTTCTTGTTGAAAAGAGATTTGCATTAAAAGGTCAGATTGCAGGCGGGGTAGGAGCATGATGTGCTGCTTTTGAATCATCATCATGTGTTACAAGCTTTGGAGAAAGACTATGCTTAGGGATGTAGTCACTTGATTCTTTCAAGCTAAGCAGCGTGTATATCGACATCCCGCAAAGTGCAGCAATGACCCCACATATGCTCACCATCCCTGGGTCTGAACTGAAAAGTAAATACCCTCCCAGTAGAACCACACAGGTCTTGAATTGCCCTAATACAACGTGTGAGATTGCAGATGTAGCTCTGCAAACACAAATTTGAACCATTTTTCAGTACAACTATCTATGTAACTGGTAAACATAGTGTGTTCAGGATAACTAGTTATAAATTACTAAGTATTAAAAACGGAAAGAAAAGAACAGCCGTTTTTAATAGAAAATGAACACTTTCAATACTTGTTTGATTAAGATAGTGATGGTTGAAGAATCTCTCACCCAAGTGCTAAGGCTCCGGACCATTGCAAGAGGAAACCGAGGCAGGCAGATGCAAGAATGGCAGTGACATTATGGACATTCCACTTGAATAATAAAGCCCCTGGTGGGTCCAACCATGGCATAAGAGCCAGTAAGAAAAATATTGTGATGGGGGTTGTTTTCCACATCAACCTGCATATACATACATATATAAAGTAAGCGATTCGGATCATGACAGTATCATTAATCTGCTGCTATAGTATAACGACAAGTAATGTCACAAGGATATAGGTGTTTCGTACGCGAGGGCAGTCCAATTCCTTTGCTGCTGGAGGTTAGACCATAGGATTTTATTTATGGCACTAGGGATTATCCAAGCTATTGCTATGCAAGCGCCAAAGAGATTGAATTCTAAATCTGTCACAGTAGCAACTGCCACACCGAACGAGACTAACAGAAGAGCCAAAACCTGCATAGTTTTATTCCAGGAATCAGAATGGGTACATCATCGCAAGTCTTATTTTATTTATGTTGGATTTGAATGTTTATAATTGTTTAACATATGATGCAGGTTTAGTTTGTCCCACAAACAAGATGGTCATTCGTTGGATATGACCAACCTAACCTTGAAGTCTGTCAGTGTGGTCATTCTTTTAAGCTCACCAGAAGCGAACTACTCATACACATCTGCGTGCCTGATGCGTTATAATATTTCATACGGAGTATTAATTAAGAGTGTGGTGGTTGATACGTACTTCCCCCAAACCTTATATAAATATAAAAGAGTGTTACATGTTTTAATTGTTTGACACCACATGTTTGAATGAAGAAGGAAAGTGAGTATGCTCAGCATCAATCCTCATGTGAAGTAAAGGCAAACGAAAAAAATTGGGGCAGGGAAGAAAATAATAAAGATGGTAGCTAGACTTACTTTTTTAAATGAGATTTTCTTTGTGAAAAGAATGAACTCAGCAATGACAATTGTTGGAGTCACAGCAATCTTAGCCATTTGATAGAAACCTACACTGCATTGCAGACACACATAAGAGCTAAATAATCTAATCAAGGGTGAAGTTGATGAAGAAGAAGATTAGAAGAAGAAGGAGGATGGGGGGGGGCTGCCCACCTGTTATGTTTAAGACTAGTGTTAGCAAGGCCAGATGCGAGAGCCATGACGGCTCCCAAACCAAAAAGGGAAGAGAAGGGTGTGGATTTAGAAGGAGGAGCAACCGGCAAAATCGACAACGCCTTGAAAACGGCTAGTAGGACCCAAGCACATGTATAATGAATCAAAGTGAGGAGGATAGGGAAATTGAACCCAACTCTACCCATCACCTGCAGCACAAATTGAACCACACAACACATTCATTCATGCATTCAGACTCTAACACAACAGAAAAGCTAAAGTTAACCCGAAACAAAGTGGGGGGCAGGGCGGGGCATACGAGCTTGTTTCCGAGGATTATTCCAACAGCAACCATGAAATTAAACGCCATCGCAACCACCGGCCCACAATACCTCTGTTGTTGGCGCTTCGCCCCTTCCGACGTTCGGAGCTCATTATTATGTGTACTACTTCTAAGTTCTTCCAATGCTCGCCCTGTTTATTCACACACAACCAAATTTCCATCAAAAGGCCACTCACATTTATCATAAACAATAAAATCAAAAATAAAAATAAAGTCTTACATCAATCTATGAATTAAAGAGACACTTTTCAGTTACACAGGCAGGCTAATAGATTCTAAAAACTTTTAGGTGTGGTGACATGATTACATCATTACAACCCTGCTAACTCATTTATGAATGAACTCCTAAACAACAAAACGTGTGATCTGATGTAAATACAAAAAAAAATCAGCATTTGAGAATTGAAATCATAGATTACCCACAAAGGGACGTCAACTAATCATAATTAGCAGTCAATGAGGATCGAGGCAAAATGATTAACCTGCTTCCCCTGCGTCACTATATTTTCGCTTGAAGCTGAACCTTCTGCAATCCCTTCCAAATAAAAAATCAAAGAAACCCATAGCCTTCACTAGTATCATCTGTTTGGCTCCTTTCCTATGATTAGGGATTAAAAACCAAACCTTTGAGTATATGAATGCAGATTAATTTATTTATTTTTACCGAGGGGGGCGGTAATCGCAGTAGTAGAATATTTATACTGCGTAACAATTAATTATTAATTTATAAATGGTGGAGGATTGAAAGGAGTCTGAGAAAAGAGCAAGTTATAGTGTCCTAGAAGATGTCAAACTAGTGTTGCTTCCCAATGTATCACGGATCTTAAAATCCCGGTTTCATCTGGGCCGGAGAAAAGGTATCCATCCATATTTTCAAACTCCTTTTTGGAATGGAACGAAAGCAGAGCCAGTTCGAAGAAAAGAAACGAAACAACATTGATCACAGCTTCGACCGGAATTTCGGCCACGCGTTAGATTTCAACTTCGACAAACTTCCACCGCCTCATCTGGCCAATCCATCTTTCTTTGCTCACCTCCCAACACGTTAGTCCGGGGATAAAATTTTTATCTTTCCATTTTAAAGATTCTAAAGCTGGAGATAGAGGGATCTGGCTCAAAAAAATGTTGAACATCATAGAGTTCACACAATCACACTCAGAATGCCAACATCTATTTAACCCGGTAATTATAGCTTTACAAAATGCAGCATTTACCGGTGCACACCTACTAATTGTCACACGGACAATTCGTTAAGAAAGATGCAACATTTGTCTCGGTGTACGCAGGCGAGGTATAAAAAGTGTGTACTTTTTGTGGGACTGGGATCCTCTGCCTTATGGCAGAGTACCTTACTCAAATGAAGGGTCAAGATTAAAATTCAGGGTATTGAGATTGATGCAAAAATGGAACCACACATCCTATGTCATTGATTTTATGATCTAAAGGCTCACAATAAGCAGGCACCCTCCTTGCCTGCTATAGCAAGGCAGAGGAGCCGTATCCCTTTTTGTGTACACCAAGCATAACTCATATCTTTATATGGGATGTGTGGAAAAATACTCCGTATAAAACAAAAAAAATGTTTTGGTTTTTTTTTAGAAAATTAAAATGAGTGTTTTTAAGTGATTGTTTAAATTGATTTCCCATGGTTAGCTATATTTGTGATCCAGTGTATCGAACCGATAGCTTCTCTCTCTAGGCGGCCGTCTTCCCTGGGTTTATGGATTGTTTTTCTCCGCTTTCGTCTTTGACAAAATGCAGCTTTCTTGTGCGGCTTTCGTCTGCTTTTCGTGAGGCTCTCTTCTTCGGCAGACCGCAACGCCTATATGACGGTCAAAAGTCGTGTACCTCTAACAGCAGGTGGAGAGTTTCGAGGAGACGAGGACGTTGTTCATGGTTGTGATCAGAAGCTCATGGACAAAGCGTGGGGCTAGGGGCTGAAACAGATCTGGACCGAAGACAAGGAGCGGAGGAAGCTACGAGATTGTTGGACTGTCCCCTCCTGAACCGCCGTCATGGAGTGCAAGAGAGTTTAGGGTTTGGAATCAGTATTTTAATTTTACTATTTGTTTGCTATTTATTTTTCATGATCAGACTGTTTATTTTTTGGTTGTTTACTTTTATTGTTGTAAGACTCTTGCATTAGAATTAGGTTATGGGAGGTCTACTTTAACCGTCGTTGGCTCATGTATGTCCATTATAGGATGAACGAGTTATATTGCTTTTTTGGAGGTCATTGACTCTAAGTCTGGTTCAAGGGCTGACGGGTTGTCTATAGTCCTTTTCTAATTTTACCCCCTATCTGAATTTTGTGATATCAATTTAATCCATTCATTTTGACGATAAAAAAAAAGTGATTGTTTAAATTGTCAAACATCTTATGGTTTGATGAGATCATTGTGACACTCCAATTGAGAATGTCACAAGTTTGAAATCATTCGAGTCAAAGGTGTTCATTTAATTACAAAGTCCAACAAAAAAGTGATTGCTTAAATTAAGTACTTAAAAATTGGAAGGTGATAACAAGTGAATGGGTGTTTTTTTAACTGTTTTTCATTTTGTTATTATACAATAAAAACATCTTTTTTACAAAAAATGTTGACTTTTATTTTTCAAAATTACTTTTCTCTTAAACATGATCAACTTTTTACAATTAAACACTTGATTTAAAATCGGTTTAAAATTTTTTTTTTTTAATCAAAGAGATTAATCTGTTTGAACAACCCAAATTAAACCTTCCAATATGCAGTTGTTAAATTGAAGCTACGCACATTTGTCCATCGCTTGCAATGGAATTAAAGACTAACTATTTTTTGGCTTGAGAGTATGGTGGAATAAAGTAAAATGACTAATGAAATTGTATGTGCTTCTGTGATATAAAGCAACAGTTAGTCTATGCAATTTTCAACGTAATTTTCACTTCATCATGCGAAAATAGTCTATGTATTTTAGTACATAGATAAGATTGCGTACATCCGATGTGATTGTATTTTACTCCGTATTAAATACGATAATAAATAGGTAGGAGTCTTTGCGGCACCGGAATGATGATGATGTCATTCATTAACAGCATGTAATACAAATATTTGTTACTACGTATAGGAAAATATGAATTCCTTATCATATAAAAATAAAGAATAGCTTGTTCTATTATTTCGAATGGTTGCTAGTCAACGTATTGCCTCGGAAAAAATGTTAGGAATTGATTTGTGAGAAATAAATTCATGTAATACATACGTAATATATATAAATGTGAAATGCTTTGGGTACACCGTTTTATGTACATTATTCGTACACATTGTTTGTCTACGTGGAAAAAATTGTCTATACACAAATTGAGCCGTGAACTTATGTTAAGAGATTTGATTTAGTTACTTACTTTTAGTTTTCTTCAACGGGGTTAGGGGTGGGCAAAAATACTCAACCGGCATGGTATCGAACTGGACCGGTATGATACCAGATTGATAAATGGGGTTTGAAGGGTTCTCAATTTTTTTGTCCCGGATCGGACCGTACCGGTTCCAAACAATGTCATGACGGGTTCTTATAAAATGAGAACCGGTACCAGACCAAACCGGACCGAAGTATGGTTAAATTATTTAAATTTGTATTATTATAGTTTATCTAAAATTTATTAATTACATCATCCATCCCAAATTGCTTTGCAAAGTCAACATTTTTTTGTCAATATTAATGTTAAGTCCTCCCTAATGATAATTAATAATCCGTACAATTTTTAATAATTAAAATTTACATATTTAGAAACCAAATTAGAATATACGAAGTACTTTTTCCTGAAAGGCCAAATTAGAATATAATTTTTTTATCGTCAAATCCAACGAATATATTAAATCAAAATAACGTTCGTCACATGGCTGATAATACAATCAAGGAAGAAGAAGTAAATAAAGAGATAAAGAGCCATATGTCTGCCGTTCGTCCTCGAACCAGACTTAAAATATATCACCTCTGTAGAAGCAATAATATTTGATGATCTTGTAATGGGCTTAAATGAGCCAATGGCTAGCAAACCAGATTTCAGAATCTCTCTGCTAGGAAATAAGAACACGTCCAAAACAACATGTAATTTGAAAGAAAAACATAAACAGAATAAAACGGAATTAAAACATAGTTCACTTATCTTCTTCCAAACCCTAGCCTTGCTTGCACTCCATGGCGGCGGCTCAGGAGGGGGACGCGCCCGCCGCTCATCCGCCTCAATAGTCATGCTTTTGTATTGAATGACAATATCCTCTTTTGACATCCCTTGATGCTGAATCGAAATCATACTCCGGCTTGATACCATACTTAAGCAAATTGCAACTTCAGCTTCTTCAAAAACCGTGATAGGATTACAAACAAGCTCGAAACACTGCCCTTCCAAGCCAGGAAAAACCGAAAGAAACGAACACCGGCGCCGTGATCAAATTGATCACCGCCGGACAATCCAGGCTAAGCGTTGCCTTGTGGCAACCCTAGAGAGAGAAAAAGAAACAGACGATGATCCTAAACCCCAAACAAACGACGGATGCTCAAATCAGAAGCCTACTGCCGCACAATCTGCTACAAGAGAAGAAGTGACAATCCATCTCAGAACAGTGGCCCTCCGAATTAGAATATAATTAAAAAGTGAAATCCTAATTAAATGATTAAAAAGTAAGTGTTTGACCGAAAAAAGGTTGATTTTGCAAATCATTTTGGAACGGAGGTAGTATGAAACATGAAAATTTTTAAATTGTGTGTATTTTTGGGAGGATGTCTATACTTTAATTTTTCCCTAAATACTTGGAAAAAGTGGCATTATTTGGTATTGGTATGATATGATATTGTCCCGTTTGAAAATAGACCGTACCGAACAGATTTAGGTCTAAGATCGAACCGAACCGTTTCAATAGTAACGGACAGGTACGGGTTCGGCCAAATATTGGACCGAACCGGACCGTACCCACCCCTAGGCGGTGTATTTTATTATATTAATTTTAATGAGCTTGAACATGGAGTTATCAATTTTTAACTAGAATTAATGTTATCTACATTGAACTTTATGTTTATAATAATAGTGATAGAAGTTCATCGAACCGTGAACTTTATGTTAGGAGATTTGTGTAGAGTTTTTCCCTTTATTTTATTTAACTGAATTTGATTGAATTTGGATTCTTACTATATTAAATTGGAGTAGATTTCATGTTTTTATCTATTATTATAATATTGTTATTGTTATTTTATGGAGCTACGTCTAAAAAGAATACGTAGGAAAAACTGCCTTCATTTTTTTTATGATGTTCATAATATACGGATTATTATTTATGAATTTATTTTGGAACCACATATTTTGGAACCACATTATGCAAATAGATATTATTATTATTTTGAAAGATGCAGATAGATATTATTAGTTAATTAAATAACGTTGTAATTAAAAATGAGAATTCATGAAAAAAAGCCATTAATCATAATATTTTGTCCTAAATAATTTTTTGACTTGTTGACACGATAAAAACTTAATTATATTTGAATTTAAGTCAGTTAGATTGTCTAGTATAAATCAAATTAAGTTCTTTACCTTAGAATCACACGATAAAAACTTAATTATATTTGAATTTAAGTCAGTTAGATTGTCTATAGTATAAATCAAATCAAGTTCTTTACCTTCGAATCACGCTACCGTGCCATAGAAAACGAGTAAGATCAGAAATAGTTGAGATTGTTAAATACCAATGTTAGACAAATCAAAATCGCACCGATCTCCGGTTCCCTTTATTTAATTGAAGATTTTGTTTGGATATGTTGTTCTTACAAAAAATTAACCTAACCTTTTACAGAATCATTGTGTGATTTGTGTCCTCTTCAGATAGACTAAAGCGATGAAATTAACCTAACGAAATCATTTGCACGTCGCTTTTTTAAAGTCAAGGACAAAATAAATAGACATAATCACATAAACGCATTATGCAGCAAGAATGAGAGTAATATTGATCGACAAAGGGCATCAATTAGTGACATGCCAAAGTAGCAAAAACATCAGTCTGACGACACGTATTAGCAACTCATTTAGAGAGACAAAATAGGGCAACACTAAAAAAAGACCAACTACAAGGGACTGAAAACTTAATCGACTTCCTCCATCTTGCTGCCCTCCGCATCAGCATCATTGTCCTCCAACGC